CTTCGAAAGTTTGCCAATACGCACTATTTTTTCTCTTTCCCAACAACGCCTTGAATCCTTTCTGGGCTTGAGTCATGGATAGAATTTCCATCATTCCAAGATTCTCCAATGTAAAAATGCCAGCTTTTTTAGCATCCAATTGAACTAGTATCGCAATCACAACTGTGCTAGCTCAAGGCTAACAGATCCGAATGGGAAGGGAATGGTGTTTTAATAACAACTGGAGAAAAGAATCACTTCATTATAAATCATTCCCTCCCGTGCGTGAGCGGTAGCCCTTTAGCTACCAAGCGCTTGCCTTAATAGGTGAGAACACATGGTCGTCTTGGGTCAGGAAATCCCATCTGTTCTTTCCTTTGGGCTATTATATGCCCAGTCTATGCTATCCATTGTGGTCCATTCTTCCCTTTCGGTGATCAACTAAGTTTCCACGTTGACTTCTTATAAGGGACTTCATTTCATCTTCCAGTAGCTCTTTTCTCCCACTTTACTTCTTCTGACTTTTGACAGCTTCATTGAAAGTGGATGGACTGCTATCAATCCGCTGCAATTGGAGATCGCCATAGGCCACACCATATCATCAAAAGCGAGCAAGGCTTTTCTTATAACTCTTCCTTGCTAGTCAAAGTGCAATTGACTCAAGTTGCTGCTGAGGTTCTTGGAGTTGAACCCTCTGTCTTGCATCCTGAACCTTCCTTCTTACCTCAGGAGTTTCTGGCAGGTTCAGTACTTGCCACATGAGGGAATTTTTCTAATCAAAACTCCAGCGCTGGTATTGGAGTTATCCTCACCACCTGTTGTGGAGCTACCATCTTGGCTCGTCTTGCTACTGTCACCTTTTTTAACATGGTAGATTCATCAAAGAGTGAACATCAATCTGCTAAAGTATTATTTGTCCTATGATTCTGTACAAACGCAATAGTCCGATAGGCCCGTTGTAACCACTCGGTGGCCTTATCCCCATGAAAATGGCTCTTTCTTAGCTTCTTTGATCCCAGCTTCGATTCTTAACATGATAAATTGCATGGGAAATGCCAATACACGTAAGGAATCTCATAAAAATCCATAGGCAGGTTCCCTCCACGTAAGGAATCATAATCATTAGCAGGTTCTTCACACCATACCTCTATAGGTGTTTTGCCACCAATAGCAGTTGATGGTAATCGATTAATGAGATGGCATGCATATGACAAAGCCTCAGCCCAAAATTTCTTGTCTAACCCAGCATCAGACAACATACACCGAACTTTCTCCAGCAACGTTCGGTTCATGCGTTCTGCCACCCCATTCTGCTGTGGTGTATTTCTAACTGTGAAGTGCCAAACAATGCCTTCATCGCGCAAATTTTATCAAAAGCATCATTTTTGTATTCTCCTCCATTGTCTGTTCGGAGACATTTGATGCGTTTGCCAGTCTGAGTTTCCACTAATTTTTTTCATTTAAGGAAAACTCCTAGCACTTCATCTTCTGACTTCAAAGTATACACCTAAAACCCTTCGAGAGAAATCATCAACAAAGGTCACATAATAGTGTTTGCCACCCAAAGAAGCCATTGTAGGGGGTCCCCATACATCAGAGTGAAAATAGTCCAAAATACCCTTGATATTATGGATTCTGGTGCCACATTTCACTCTTGACTGCTTTCCTTTGGTGTAATGTTCACAGAAGTCCAACTTACAGGTTTTGACATCATTCAATAATCCCTAATCTGACAATCTTTTTAAGGATTTTTCACCTGCATGTCCCAAACGCAAGGATTTTTTCACCTTGCATTCCCAAACGCTCTATTGCTCACAATCTAGTTGTTTTCCAACTCTTTGTCCATCACTAGAAAACAACTGTTGCTGTTCGATCCAATAATTGTATTTACACTGATAAGTAAATACAAATTATTTCCTTCTCGAACATCTTCTTCATCAACCCACAAGTGCAACCTGAGATTGAACTTTCATCACTCCATTTTTTGCAAAATTAACAGTGAAGTCCTTTTTGATTCTAAAAGACTCCCACTGAAATTTGAGATTCTTTGTCAAACTCGTACATAATCGAACATCAGTCAGGATCCTGATTTGACCCATCAATGATTCTTTAAAAGCGGACGTGAACGCAATCCCTTCTGTGAAGCAAGGAACATTATTTGCAGTATAGACAAGCTTCATTATTCAAGTTACTTTAAAGTCAAAAAACCAGTCCCCCCGATGGGGACTCATATGATGACTGCATGCAGAGTCTAGCAGCCATACTTCACCAGAACTTGTCAAATTTGCTGATGAATTGTCTATAGATGCCATGCTAGCTAATGAGAAGTCTGAGTCTTCATCATCACACTCAGCTATGTTTGAATTAATAACAGCTTTGCCTTTGGCTTTTAGCTTCGGACAATCTTTCTTTCAATGACCTTTCTCACGACAAAAGGCACACTCATCTTTTTCAACTCTGGTTTTTGAACGGGATCTACTTTTCTTTCCCCCTTTCTTTTGGCTTCGTGAACGGCTTCCAACCACCAGAGATTCTACTTCAGTTGCCTTTTCCTTCTTTCTATCTTTCTCAGTTCATAGCTGTAAAGATCAGCACAAACTTCACTAAAAGTCACATCTTTATTCCCATAGATTAGAGTCGTTGTAAGATGCTCAAATTCATCAGGAAGAGATGCCAGCAACAACACTGCCAAATCTTCGTCTCCAAATATCACATTCTCGTCTCAAATATCACATCCAAATTAAACAAATCACCCACCAAACAAATCACCCACCAACTGATTAAATTTTGTGATGTGTTCATTCATAGTGGTACCAGGAACATAATTGAAGCGATACAATTTCTTCTTCATGATTGTTCTGATTGTTTTTCTTCAAAAATTTCTCCTCCAATGCCTTCCACAATTTGTTCGCAGAAGTTTCTTTCGAGAAAGCATATTTTTGCTCTCTAGAAAGACATGACCGAATTGTCCCACATGCCAGACGATTGATGGTCTTCCATTCACTTTCCTCCATCTCGTTTGGTTTCTCTTTTTCAATAGCAACATCTAGACCTTGCTGAAACCTTGCTGAAAAGAGAGCGTCTAGAAACTTCACTTTGCCACATGCCCGAAAATGACCGGTCCCATCCGAAAATTCTCCAACTGTAAATCTTGCATTTGATACAGCAATTTCCATTACGAAGGTTGATGCTGTAAACAGGTGTGGTAATTTTTCTTTCCGTCCTGTTCAATTTCTGCTTAAAATATCCTAATAGCTATAAAATCACAAAATTTTCAAAAATGTGGAACACAACCAAGGAACTTTTTTATGTGGCGATCCAAGACTATGCTGCCAACCAACAGTAAATACTTAGTAACACTTGGCTCTGATACCCAATTGTTGTGGAATGGGCTTTTTTCCACCAAAAGCAATTTGTGAATTATGTAACCTTATTAACTACACTAAGTAAATTCCCAAGGTAAGTGGACGGAGTCACAAATGGTCCTCAACTTAAAACCCCCACTTTGCCTAAGACAGAATTTTACCTAGAAGTAATTAATTAGAACATAACCACCAAAATATTTTTTACCCCAATAGGCTATTAAATAAATAAAGACAAAAGCAATAAATAAAAGAGAATACAAAAATTAACGGGTTCGGCCAAATTTTTGCTATGTCTCGACACTACTAAATTTATATTTCACTAAAGAAATAATACAAATTGAGAGAGGAGAGAACTTGGTCTAACCCACTTAAGAAAGAGGAGAGAAACTTGTCTAACCCACTTAAGAATTGGAAGACAAGTTTTGGAATGAATAAAACTTCAGGAGCTAAGCTCCTTTTATAGCCAAACAACTCTCTATTCCCTTCCCTTTCTTTCGATGTGGGATTTGCAAGCCACCTAACCAATACTTTATTTAACTTTGAATTAGATTCGCGGTTATATACTTCATCAACTGTGCAATTAGTTAAATTGAATAAAGAAAATTGTAAAAGAAAGTTTTGATCATTTGAAAAGTAAAGAGAATTTAATTACTTGAATATAAAAAATATCTGATTGCTTGTATTAAAATAAAATTGTAATTATAGGAAACATAAATGAATAGTATTTAGGAAAAATAAAAATAATGCTTGAAAAATTAAATTGATTGAGTTTGATTTGTTTTGTTAGAGAATTTAGTTGGGCCTTCAACGTTGTTTCTTTACTCCCTTTACAAATTCATAGACAGGTACTAAAAGATTCACTTTAATGTATTTCTATCATTGGCTCATTTAGCTACACCTTCTGTACATAAACAGCTGATTGAGGAGTGTCCATTGATTTGCTCAGCTGCACTCCACTTCTTTTTTATCTCTTTCTTTTTAATTAATTAATTAATAAAAGTTAATTAATTAGTTATATAAAATAATATGAATTACAACTAATTAAATAATTCAATCCAATCTAAATCCTAAAATTATAGAGCCTAAATCTAAAACATGGGTTGATTTGATTTGACTGAACATGTGATGATCACTTTCTTCTAAAAAATAGAGAAAGATTTAAAATCTCATCAAGTTTAAATTTAATAAATTTTGTCTCCACAAAAATATTTGTATATTTTAGATTATCATCGTAAAATTTGAGCTTGATTTATTTATTAATACGAATTTAATAAATAGATTCAATTTTTCTCATTAAATTTATTAAATAAATTGAAACAAGCTTTGTTGAATCTTGAAGAATTTAACACATTAATTTAGAATTCCAATTAGAGTTAGCTAAAAGTCAAATATACGAGTCATATATTTCCAAAAAAAAAAAAAAAAAAAGACGAAGTCATAATATTTTCCAAAAAAAAAAAAAAAAAAAGGAATAAGGGGCCCATAAAATAGAATAAACCCAATAAATGACCTAAATTCAATTTTAAATTTGATTTAACGTGAAACCGTGATTTGTTTGTTTTAACAAAAAAAAAAAAAAAAAAAAGGAATAAGGGCCCATAAATAGATAAAACCCAAATAATGACCTAATCAATTTTAAATTTGATTTAACGTGAAACGTGATTTGTTTGTTTTAAACTCGAAAGCAAAGGAAATAACCGGTCCAGAACGTTAAAATTAGCAAACGCGACTCTATCCAAATCTGTGCATAGGCCCTCGATTTATATATAAACCTCCTAATCCGCATGCGCCTCCGTTTTTAATATCTATCTATAATATCACCTCCCTTTATCGTTTTGGGAACGTTCAAATTAAGCAAAATCAACAGCTTGGTTTATTGGTTTTGCGTTGGATTTCGTCGAGCTCTGTTGATTATCCATTTTCTTCCCCTCCATTTGATCTGTTTCTGCCTTTTTCTATTATCGGTATGCTCTCTCTTTCTTTTGGGTTTTAATTGTGTAATGGGCGATGTGATTGTGTTCTGTTTGTTGTTTGGTGCTTTTTCTTTCTAATCTGAGCTAATTGGCTTGTTAATTAGAAACGGTATTGATAATTATGATAAGCGAGAGGTTTAGATTTCTTTGAAATTTGGATCAAATTGGCAATTTGTTTGATTTTTATGATTTTTCTTTGGCTTGTATTGAACTCTGAAACGGTTATCTGTTATTGTGGGTTCTGTATTGTTTGGTTTGTTCATTTTGATAGTCTTTTATTGATCCTGCTTTTGTTTTTGGGAATGGAATTAACAAACCTTTGCCTCTGCAAGCAATCTGTTTTGCTTCTTATGGAGAAGAGAATTTGGATTTATACCATAAACCAATAAAAAGTTGAGGGTTCCGTTTCTAATATAACTAAGATTATATACTGCCTCTCAAGTATGAATTTCCTTTTCGAATTCCCTTTTGCGATGCTTGTCCATGTGGAAGTGTAGCTGAGATTTTATGCTTATGTATTAAGAGCAGGGATGATTTTAGAAATTGGCAATTTTGAAGCTGATATTTTGATGAAGGAATGATGACGTTCAGTACTTATGTTCTTCTCATTCCTCATTAGTGGTTTATGGAATCTTTGCCTTTTGTTATATCTGTTTGATTGAACTGAAGCTTGACAACATTTCTTTATCTTTTCATTTTTTTTATATTTTGTAACTAGCTATTTTAGTCTTGTTACTTTGTGCTCCTATGGATTTCCAGGATATCTGTGTTTGAGTAGCTGATCTTGGGAACAATTGTTTTTGAACCATGGAAGTTATTGGATATAATTATTTTGTTTCCCCCCTTTTTTTTTCTTTTTGCTATTGTTTTTCTCTGTTGCTCCCTTGCTTAATCGATGGCAATAATGAGGAATATTATGAGCCTAGATATATACCTTGAATTTTTTAGTGATCGACATATTGGCATTTTTCCATCTGAATGCTAACAAACCTCAATTTTGAAACAGGGTGCATGCCTATGGAACCGAATTTCTTTGCCCCTCAGGTACATGTTGAATCTGAAGATTCCAAATGTAAGCAGCACCAGAAATCTGTCTCATCCCCAACAGGTATGTCAGGTGACAATGGGGATTGTTTTGATTGCAATATATGCTTAGATTCAGCACAAGACCCTGTTGTTACATTCTGCGGTCATTTGTATTGTTGGCCATGCATTTACAAATGGTTGAATGTTAAAAGTTCTTCACTGGATGCCGATGAGGAACAGCCAAAATGTCCCGTTTGTAAGGCTAACATTTCTCCAAATTCCTTGGTCCCCCTTTATGGTCGTGGTACATCCCGAACTGATTCGGGATCAAAGAAACCCTCTCTAGATGTGGTCATACCCCGTAGACCACTTCCTGCACTGAATTCATTGATTACGAGTCAAAATCAGCAACTTCATCCAAACTTCGTTCAGTCACAATCACAACCACATACCTTTCATCAACAACAATATTTCCCTAACCCTTACAGAGGTTATGGAGCTATGGCCTCATCAAATATTGGTGGTGCTGCAATGACACAAATTTTCAATCCAATGATTGGAATGTTTGGAGAGTTGATATTTGCAAGAATCTTTGGGACATCGGACACGAGTTTGTTTGCTTATTCTTACCCAAATTCTAATCCTCTCATGGGAACTTATAATCAGAGGATGAGGAGACACGAGATGCAGCTTGAAAAGTCTCTAAATAGAGTGACCATCTTCCTGCTCTGTTGCATCATTTTGTGTCTTCTGTTGTTTTGATTACATTAGTTTTCAGCTTTTGTATATTTGTATAAAAGTAACCGAAAGAAGTAATGAGCATACTCACAGGAACAATACTGCTAGAAATTTTGCTGGAAACTCACTCTGAGTTTTCCCCGAGGCAATTTTGCATGTAAATAATGTCATTCTTCCATATTATTACTTGGTATTATTTTGTGTTCTGCTGTGAAAGTTATTGAATATGATACTGTGCTACCTGTTTCTTTATCTTCGAAACTTAGCACAATTAATGGTTTGTGTAAATTTTTTTAACCACAGAAATCTTGTGAGTTACAATATTTCCCTCATCCTTGGACTCGTGATTCTCTCAGCTCAGCTGGGTACACCTATTTCACCAATCCAACATGTCCTGAGCTTCTATTCAAATGTAATATTCAACTTGCTCTATTCCGTTTCACCATCTATCTGAGATGTATTACTGAAACATCTAGCAGGTAAGCGGATTAGCCTCAAATTTTGACCAATGTTAGCAAGAAAAATGGAAAAATGGTAATTAATTAGTCTCTAGCTATTACTATTGTTCGGTTAATTTTGACACTTCTCATTATCATACGGTTGAAAGGACTTCTAGAAGAGTGAATTAAGTTCGAAGTAGTAAGACTTGAAAATTCTTATGACCTAATTTATTTGAAGCTTTGTTGTCGGTGCCGATCTTTTGCATTCTCTCATCGGACTTCCGTTGTGATCAGGCATTCATGATTACTGAGTCTTCAAACTTGGTAATTGGAACTTATGATCTAATTGCTAAGTAAAAGGAGATTATTCTATTATTCTGTTGTGTAAATCTTGATGTTATTTCGGCAAGTTCAGTCTTCTGATGAATAAAAAATTTTTCTATAAAGAATGAAGATGAGTTAACGTTTGACGTGATTTTTTTTATTTTTATGTGCAATTGACGTGATTCATGTGCCTCGGTCAAGAAGAAGAGGAAGAAGAAGAAAAGAAATAAAGAAGGAACAAAAAACATTATTCTTTCATGTTCTTTGAATTGAAGGATTCCATATAACTAGAGAAATAACAGTGCTTGGAATGTTCTCCGAAACGACCCTTGACCATCTAATAGACAGTGGCAAGCAAAACTAGTGGTTCAAGTCCGGTCAGATCATTTTGGGTTTTGGTTATTTCGAGTCTGGGTAATTTGGATCATACAAAAATGGGTTTGAATCAAGTTGCTTTGCATAGTAATTGTAGATTAAGGCTTTATTCGACAATAATTTTTGAGCTAGCTTTTAGTGTGATCAAGTCAAAACTGTATTTATATTAATTGTAAAGTTTAGTAATATAAGCTTTATAATAACTTTTAAAAATTAAGAGAACTTTTTATAATAGCTTTTATAGTCGATTTTAAATATCCATATTCGAATCCATTAAGAATTTTATTATCCATATTTGTACCTGTCCAAACTCATTTAAAATACCCATTAAATCGATACGAGAAAATAAATAATAAAAGTTGAATTGAATTGATTGCATAAAATATATACGATAATATTAATTCACTTTTAAAATAAAAAATATTGAAATTTATCAAAAATCATATATTTTTTGTTATTCTATATTGAATCAAATAGATCATATTTTGGAACGAGACAAGAAATCAAATAAATTAATTTACAGTTTGAGAATCATTCCCAAATGAAAAATAATTAATTTAGATGGATCACGTATTGAATTTAAATAATACCATGAATTACATAATAAAGGTAATTGCCATCTATCAATTAATCTCAATCACTTAATCAGCAAAAATTTTATCCGTTAGGAACTCACAAAGAAATATACGTTTTATAATATAACCCACATGTACAAAAGAAAGAACAAATCCATTAGTCAAACAAAACTAGTTTGAGGTTTTTGAGGGATTATATGACGACACTGCTTATCCAAATGGGAAGCCTAGTGGGGCAATCAATATAGGATAAGAGAAAGCCCAATCAAAACTCTTCTTCTTCTTCTTCTCCAATTTCTTCCATACTTCCTCTCATGAAAAGTCTTCAATGCCAACTTGCAATTACAGAAATCACTCCACAGTCCATACCCTCTTCTTTGACTAAAATTTTGAGTTTCAAAAATTGCACATTTCATACATTTTTGGTCAAATTCACAACTAGTATTTTTGGAACTATATACACCTCAAATCTTAGATTGGGGTGACTTGTCTCTCCATGGCCAAAAGAGTAAATGAGGGAATTAAAGGAAGAACAAAGTTGACTTTTTATGGATAGATAAAAAAAAATATTAATATTTTTATTTTTCCATTATAATTCTTTTCTTTTATCTTAAAAAAGTATCTCAACCACCCGCTACTAGATAAAGTGTTTCATTTGCTCCATCTATAAGAATCAATCTCACTAAAAAAGAAAAGTGCTGAATTACTCGTCTCAACATTCGTTGGTTCATTATAATTCTTTTTTTATATGCTTATATGAAGAGTTTATATCTCCTCCCATAATCAACCACTGCTTGATTTGAAGCTCAATGACCAATATTCAAGCCAACCCAATCCAAATTTTATGTAGATACATTAAATAATTAAAAACTTAATTAAGAATTTTATTAAATAGATATTAAAAATAATTTAAAATTAAAAAATAGCTGAAAAAATTTTATTGTAAGTGTTGAATTATATTATGCAACACTGCCTTAGCTTATCATATTATTTGTAGATTAAGCATATCAAAATAGAGTAGTTCTTATTTAGAGAGATCCATGTGCATCTCTCTACCTTGAAGTAGATCTCACCATATATAAAAATAGATATTTTTCCATGTGAGAAAATCTCATGTTCTTTGGAATTCACTTCATTTGGAAGGCATATATTTAGAAAATTTTTCTACCAAAATAACATGATATAAACTGATAATTAAAAATCTTAACATTCATTGAATGATAAATTGATAAGTTGAACCTAATCTTCAACAATTTTATTTTAATAGAGTATATTTACTTACACTGAGTGTATAACTATATATTCATACATCTACCCAATAGTTATCTATCATTTAAAAAAAATTGTTACTCTTTGTTATTGTCTTTTTCATTTTTTTTCCCAATGAAAAATATTCATATTTTAATTAATAGTCTCTTTGGTAATATTAATTATTTTAGTAATTGTAACTGTTCTATCAGTTGTTAGCTATTAAGTATTAACTTTTAACGGGTAACTGTTTATATAGAGGGTAATTGTTTATATGGAGATTTAAATTATAAGTATTTCATACAAATTGTTGTTTAACTTAAAATGACAAAAACGATATTAGTTGTTTAATTAACTGATCAATTCGAAAAAAAAAAGGTGTAATTGTCAAAAAAATTTAATGAAAAGCTAAACGCTAAATATTAAAATCTAACATTAGAGTATATAACGTAATTCCCTCGACCTCTAAAAGCTATTATAAAAATTATGTTATCAAACACTACAATTAATAAAAATAGAGTTTTAACTTGATCAAAACG